GACGTAGCAGTGAGTGCGCGACGTGTGGATTGTGCAAGCGCTGAGTCACTGCTCTAGGGAGGAGAGGTTTATGCCTCAATTTATTATAACTCAATGAATAAATAAATAAAATAAATGAGCTCCGGCAGATGCTATTAGTTCTTTTACTCTTCCGAGAGGAACAATCGGATTCGTCCAAAGGAACATATTTTTATGAGAATTCTGTCAAGGGATTCACAGCCCACCGTGTACCAATAGCGACAACCATTGAAGGTTCTCCATGTCCAGGATTCTTCTGGTTGTGTCCATTTTCCTTCATCAAGTTGTTGTTGTTGTGAAAGTTGGATCACAGCTAGGACAATGCTCAAAGTAGCTAGCATGTTGGCCATCCTTCTGAATATACAAAAAAAAGTATGTTGCATCTTGTGACAGTAGTGAGAACTGGCAGTAGTTACACTAACCTCCGGTGTACACCTACCTCCAAAAATCCTGCTCGTTCCCATGCGTAGTAGGTGCGCTGGATTAACCCGGGCTGCAGTAGCTTGCAAAGTCCTCCGCTGGTGTGTACTGTAATGGGGCTGGGGGGGGGGGAAGATTTAGTGAATAAGGGTGAATCTTACTTTTGGTTGTTCTCTACGCTTGACTGCGCGTTTGGTGGAGAAGTGTGCCTTGGATTCACCTCGTATTCAATGCATTCAATGCACACAAGATATTACGTTGTTAAACATCCAAAATAATTCAAAGGCCCGTCCCTCCTCCTTTCACCTAGCTGATCGAAAGTAATGTAATATGCGGTTCTCCCATGATTAGCAGGATGATAAGACGTACCAGCGAAGGAAAAACAGAAAAAATGTGTATGAAACACTCGGAAGCTTTATGTTTACCCCCGCGTGGGAACCCTTATCCTTCTAGTCTATAAACCAATAACTTTGTGGTTTGTATGCAGTTGCAGTGTTGCAGTCGGTTTGTATGCATATATACTCGAAATCCCTGAGATCGGGTAGGCGTGGCCGCATGTTTCAACTTAACCTGAAGGTGTCTATGCTTCTGGTGGAATATTTCCATCTTGACACAACTGTTGTCGTGTCTCTGTCCAACACAGAACAAGATGACAGTTGTCCCAGACTGGAATATTCCACGAGTAACCAGTTCCGTGCCATGTTCAAATGCCACGCCTACTCTGGCTCAGGGATAAGGAGTGTATGTATTATGTCCGTCCGCAAAATGCTTCACGGGTTCGAACTGTGAGAGGAGAATACGACCGCTAGACAAACCGGAAACCGATTGGTGCAGATGTATCAATCCAATGTTTTGATTGTGATAACAGCATATATAAGACAACCATTCGGTACACTCCGAGCCATTGCACGGCTGCTCGCGTGGCAGCTGGACCAGCACGTGCAGTGGGACAGGGTAGGGAAGGGCAGTGCTTCGGGGTATGGGAGAAGGTAAGGGGAGAGGGACAAGGAATGGGTGAGACGAGCGAAGTGAGGTTAGGCTGCGTTTATACTTTGCGGCAGCGTAGCGTAGCG